AAAAAAAAAAAAAAAAAAAAAAAAAAAAAAAACATAAAATGAAATAAAATAAAATAAATAAAATTAGTTTTTTACTATTTGTTTATTCAAGTACTTTATAAATAATCGAAATATCAAACAACAATATATGTAAACTTCTATTTATTAAAATTATTCACTGTATGTACACTGAAAACTTTCCTTAAATGCATATCTTAAATTAAGAATGTTCACTTATATTTTTTGTACGGAATAATATGTAAAGTAGATCTTAGTGCTTCTGTGAAGTTAACTGGCAAACTGCTAATGACATTTTTGCTGGGTGTATGCCGCGAAACGGATACGCGCAACTAGAAATATTTCGCAACAAATTATTCAACACTTTGCATGCACAGCAAGCGCGGCGGCGGCGGCGGCAGCAGCAGCACCCAACAGGAGACAGACGACGACCCTCAGCCGCCCCAGACGTGGAATCCGAAGACAACCAGCAGCAGAACCAGACTGGGCTAGAGCAGAGGCAGCCCAGGCAATGCCAAGAGCAACGAGAGCTACCCGCTCGACTCGGTCTGTCAACATCTTGTCTTTGGGCTGCTGTTTGTCATTTCCTTTTGCTGCTGCGGCTGTGGCTGAGGCTGAGGCTGTGGCAAATTCCAACAGCATTTAACAAGCCGCAGAGCGAGCTGCTTGCCAATGCGAAATGCGAAATGCGAAATGCGCAATGCTGAGTGAGGAAATGGGAAATGGGGAGTCGAACACGTAAATCATGCCAATTTAAATGAGTCAAGTTTTTAGGCCCACCTGCAGCAGCTGGACGCGTTTTGACACTTGTCATTTGTGGCGCGCGGCATGCGGCATGCGGCATGCGGCATGCAGCATGTGGCTTGTAGCAAACATGTGCAACATGCGCCAGACAGTATGACGTCGCAGCGGAAACGCAGCACTTGTCAGCAGCAGCTGAAGCATCTGCATTAATCAGCCGACGCGCTGATTGATCAATGTGCCTCGCATGTGTGGCAGCCCCACGGCCTCGCCCCGTCGATCCACAGCCAGCCAAATCCGTTGCCAAGCCCAGCCGACCATTAAAATGTTATCGCTTATTTATCGGTCGGATGAGGCGCAGGCTTCGCAATCTCTCTCTCTCTCTCTCTCTCAGCAGACCTCAGTCTGTTGGCGGTCCATGCTGCTAATCCGCGCACGCATGCGACATGTGCCTGCAACATTGTTGACAAAGTGTGCAACAAAATGTTGCCAGCAGGAAAACAAACATGCAACATTATTGCAGAATTATTGCAGCTAATGTGCGTCCGCTGTTTATTCATTTGCAGCTCAAAGCCCACGCACAGTGGTGCCAAAAGCATTCGCACGCAAATTAAGTTTTGTTCTAAGTTTATATAAAATTTAGTGTTAAGAGTAAGTATTAAAGTTTATACAATCCTAAAGGGCTTCATATATGTTTAAAGGAACAAATTTACATGCCTTTAATGTTTAATATGTCGCCTAAGACAATGTATTTATTCTATTGTTGGACGAATAGAAATATTTGTATCCTAAGTTTTCAATACAACTAGAATAAAGAAATAAAATAAATAAAGGATGCGTAAAGAAGTTTAATGTCCACAAAAATCATAAAAATACATAAAAAAAAAAAAACAATACACCTTATTTTGTCTTCTTCAAGGGGGGTGAGGATATGAAACGCTTTAGTTAGATTTTGTGTGTATCTTTAGAGAGTGCAAATGATTAAAATAAAGAAAAAAAAATCAAAAATCAAGTATATGTAGTTAATTTATTTATTAAAGAAAAATAATAATATTTATTAATTTTATCTAAATTGAAAGGTTTCAAAAATGTACCACAATTTTTCTATGGCTATGCTATAAGCAGATCTAGTTACATATCTTAAGTTCTTGGATAGCGAATGGACGGAGAGATACAATCAATAAGTACTAATATATGATAATAGAATATATTATATGTTACCTCACATATCACGTATTTTCTTAATGTACATTCTGTAATATAATATTATATAATCTGATATTATATAATATAATACAATACACATATGTATATTAATCTATATATTTTATGAATGGAGCAGCTACTCACAATGCTCGTACTATAGACACAGTTGTTAGCACATCTATTTCAGCCTTTTATCAATAAATCCCTTTTTTTTCACTTTGTTTTTTAATGACTAAATTCCATCTTAAGCTGTCACAAATTCACTTAACTAAAGTAATCGATTTATATAGATTATCATATGAGAGTATTAGTTTAGTATTTCAATCGAATAATTCCCATAAATAATGGCTAATCTCTGTTATTTATAAAATCAAATTTGAAACTTGATCTTAATGTGATTTTATATTTCAATCTGTCTGTAAATTGTGTGTGTGTGTTGACAAAGAGCCGTGTCATTGCTGGAGCGTGTGCTAAATGGAATTGGTATCTATCTAATTTATTGATAAAGAGGCCATTCACTCGCCAGCCCATTCCCACTCAATCTGAGGCTAATCCATGCCATAACTATTTAAGTAGCTGGCCAAGCCCAAGCCCAGACAGAGCGACAGTCGAAGAGACTGAGAGGGTCAGAGAGTGAGTCGAAGAGCCGACGGCTGTGGCTGCTGGGCTCGTCGGGCTCGTCCCTATCTGGGAGTCCAGCTGATTGGTGGGCTGTTGAATGCTAAGTTGACGCTTTGATCTTGTCTAGCGCGTAAATCTGGCGATGCGCTTTGAGATTAAATGCCATTTGTGTGGCAATGCGAGTGCCGGCACTCACTCCGACCACTCGGTCCACAGCGTGCTCCATGCGGAACTCCCGCTCTTCCTCCAGATTGTGTGCACTTGGCAAATTAAGCAGACAGGCCAAGCAGCCAAGCAGCCAAGCAGCCGGGCAGCCAGGTAGACAAGCCGAGTTGCACCGGGCACCTGTTCATTAAACGGCTGGAAAATTATAGTTGAGCGAGTGCAGTAAACAAATGTAATCGACATCCTGTGCCACAAAGGATGCCGCCAGCCGCTGCATTGTGGCCAGCGGGTCTGTTGCATGCAACTGGCGTCTTCTGTTGTTGGGGGCGCCCAATTGAACTACATTTAGACAAAGAGAGAGAGAAAGAGAGAGAGAGAGAGATGGGGAGAGAGAGCAGAGCAAACAAACAGCGAAAACAAATAATAAACGCAACGAATTTTGATTTACCATGAAATTTAAATGAAGCAAGCGAAACGAAACGCAGCAGGGCAACAGCTTGAGACTTGAGACTTCACTTTGCGTTTTATTGTCAAGGCGCGCAAATATTGTCAAAAGACTTTGAAGTGGAAAGAACTCTCCGTTTGGTCCCCCGACCCAGGGACCAGTCGGGCCACATTTGCATCTCGCTGCAACGGAAGCGCCACAGATATGAAAAAAAGATGCCGACAATGGGACAGGCATCAGGCATCGAGCACAGTGGAAAACTTGTCGCTGTCTGCGAGCTGCGAGTGTCCCCTGTCTGTCTGTCCGTCCGTCCGTCTCTCAGTTCGCTCTGTTCCCTCGAGTCGAATGCAGTCCTGTTTTTGTTTGCGCCGGCGCTTCAAGTGTCCCTGTTGGCATGCGGGCAGGTGGTGCGGGCAGTGCGGGGCAGAGCGGGGAGTGCGCTTGCCCACTTGTTTGGTTTTATAAATATCTAAGTATAGGTTTTTTTCCTTCTTTCTGTATTTCTGCTTTCAGTTTATTTAGGACCTGGACTCGAGACGACATCGACGACGACGACGACACTCAAGTGCCAGGCAATCAACAACAAATTATGAGTGCTACAATTTGCCCAGCTAGATACGGTAATGGATCGTCGACTTATCGCCACGTTCACAGCCAAAGCGATGCGCACTCACCTCGTATTCGGCTTGGCTGGCATTGAACTTTCGCCGGGGCAATCGTAGAGAATAGCAGACAATGTCGACACTCTACTGACCCACTTGGGCAGGTCTAGAGAGCAGGCCGCGCAAAATCATAAGTAAAAATCCTCTAACGATTACACTAGTTAACAAACATTTGCAGTCTTGATAGGGTAAATGTATTTAATAAAAAATTTGATATGCAATATTTTACAATCTTAAAAACTGCACATAAATATATTGAGAGTATTATAATAATTTAATTTCATATTAAGTATTTTAAAAAAGTAATATTAAATGGATATATAAAGAGTATTTTGTTTCTATGTTTACGCATTATTAATATAACATTGTTGTATGGCATATTAAATACTTCTTATAGTAATATAAAAATATTTCCGCATTCATAGTAATGTTGAAAAAATTAAATTAGTTTTTGTGTGTGTCAATATATAAATATTTATCGTTTCTTTCGATAAATTTGTGTGCTATTCTTTATTATTTATTTTATATAATTTTTAAACATGCATTCAAAAAATTGGTATATATTTTATTTCTTGCAGAATCAGTAAATATACATATAAAAATTTTGGATTTATATATTTATTTATTTATTTTAAATATAAGCAAATATTTTCTGACTAACAAGATAAATACTTTATATATTTATTAGTAATATATATTTTATAAATTGTTTCGGATTTTGCTCCAAATAAATGAAATCGTTTGTTCACCAGTCAATGACGATGTGGCGGGCAAATCGCATTTATATAGATTTTCCTCTTAGTGAGTTTGGAAAATGTAGTTGCCGAGTGTAATTGACTTGAAAGCAAACAATTTATGATGACCTAAGCCAAACAAAGGCAGCGAATACCCAGAAAAGGGTGCGGTAATCAAAGGAATTGGCCAACAGATTGAGCCAAACGGATAACGGCCCAGTCAGCGCGCCAAGACCTAAAAACTGATGACGTTGTTATTGTTGCTGTTGTTGTTGTTGTTGTTGTTGTTGTTGGCCAATGATGATGCTGATGCTGATGCTGATAATGTACTCGATGAACGATAGAGCACGCCGAGTGCAGTGGAAGTGGATGTGGATGTGAGCGAGGAACTGGATGTGGAAGGGGCAGCAGTCAGTGCTAAAACCCACGCAAAACTAATGTGAAAGTCAGAGAGGGGCGACGGGAGAGAGAGAGTGGGTGAGAGGGAGACAGAGCTAGGTGGAATGATGACTGGCGCGAGCTGCAATGTTGACCTTTGAAGCGAGTCTCGGCAAACATCTTTATGCTGACTCGAGAGCAATAAATAGCAGCAAAGAATTCAAGTGGAAAAGCATTGCAAATAAATACGAAATATCTAGTGGATAAATATTATTTGTGGCGATAACTATGAGCAGATACTAGGCCAGCCGAGGCACAGCTAGGCTCGGCCAGGCCAGGCCAGGCCAGAGCAGAAACAAAGGCCATGGTATAGCTGGTTCGCTCAACTGGGTCAGCAAGTCAAGGACCCAGTTAAAGAGCGCCCCAGGGAATCGCACACCCAGCTCATCTCTGCATATTTTCCATTTATGGCACTCGGAACTCCAATTCCAGCTCCAGCTCCAACTTCAACTTCAACTCTAACTCGAACTGGAACTCAAATTATGGACAGTAGCAAATAAGTGCATAAATGTTGGCTCGACTGCGCATCCAACTGCAAATCAATGTGGGGATGACTTGACAATTCGGACTCTAGCGAGGTAGTTGACTTATCGACAAGGCAGCTACAGTCCTATCATGACTCGTTCATGTCGAGAACTTTTAGCTAGCTGTTGCCTCTGCCTCCGCCACTGCGTAGTTTCAGCTGACTCACTTATGTAATAACAAAATTGGCATAAACATATGTATTAGAGCGTCGCGACGACAGTGCAACAAATGGCAACTCCTTCGACCCGACTCCTGCTCCAAGCCAGATTTTGCCTGCGCTCGTACTGGAACATTTTCGAGAAGTGCCTTGTCACCAAGGCACTATGGGTAAAAAGTCGATTTTTTTGGCATTTATTCAAAAAAAATTTTGTTC